TCACAGCCTCATCGATTGATTTCCCCTCCTTACCTAGCACTCGACCGACGCGTAACTTCGATGTTGCTCACCCTATTATACCAGTTCACACGGGAAGAGATCGAGCGCAGGCACCTATGATCAAAGACAGCTAATCTTTTCATGTCTTCCACTCTCAATGGCCAGGGTCTCACACTGCTGATGAGTATCAAACTAGGAAAACAGAAAAAACTGCCCAGTACTCCCAGCCGACTTCCAATGGTTCTATAACTGATATCGATCCATGGTCAAACTTGAAACATATCAAATCCTCTCAAAGTAACTTTTGAAAATACCAGACATGTAAGCTTTTAATGTGATAATGTTGGCAATGACTAATCTTATAAGAATGTTTAGGCTTAAAGATAATGAGTGACAAATAAATTCACAACAACACTGTTAAGTAGAAAAGGATTGTATATAATGGTTACAGTTATGAATGATCTTCATAAAATCAATAGTCTCCTTGTCATGTGACATTCCATTTTGACTAGAGATGATATTTACTACTTGTGGAAGTTGTTAATAGCCCTACTTCCGTTATATAAATAAATAAAAGATTAATTATTGCCTCACTATTAATTATTTCTTTTCTTTCGTTTCATTCTATTATTTATTATTTTTGTATTTTTAATCTTTTTATTGTGCGTTCAAGTCTCTGTAGCAGTTTGATTGGCTTTGTGGAGGAGAAGAGTGGCTAGCTCCATGCCCAACCCCTCCCTCTTTACCCTGGCTTGGGACCGGCTAGAAAATTAGGCAAGGTTTCCTTTGGTTTCTTTCTCATGTACTCCCTTTATTCACCCAAGATTTTCTAGTGAAGCTAGTTTTCTGGCCGGTTCCAAGCCAGGGAAAAGAGAGAGGGTTGGGCATGGGGCTAGCGACTCTACCCCAAAAATCAATCAAACTGACACAGAAACTTCACCACACAAGAAAAATATTAAAAAAAAAAACTGAATCTTAGCAGGAATCAGAGAGGCGAAATGATATAGCGGGCTGGTGAAAGCCTTCAAGAAGCCACTCAGTCAATGAGTCCTCCATCGATGACAGTAAAAGTAAGCATTGGAACCTGGAATGTTCATACAATGTACGAAGCTGAGAAAGCTGCTCAGGTAGCCAAAGAAACGATAGGATATGGTATAGAAGTGTTCGGAATCTGCGAGAGCACATGGATTAAGTGTCCACTGTCGAAATTGTCAACTGGAGAGTCAGTAATATACTCCGCCCACCCAGGCTACAAACATGAGCACACTGAGGGAGTAGCTGTCACAGTGTCATTAACAGCAACCGAAGGTAATAACGCAGTGGGAACTAACGTCCTCGTGCAGGATTATGACAGCAAGACTTAGCTAAGAAGGAAGGAAGGAGGGTTAAAGTTATCTAATGCGACGCACCTACAAACAACTCAGAACAAGAGAAGAAGGAAGATTTATATAGACAATTGCCAACAGCAATGGACAACATCCCAAACAGCGATATGACTGCTAGACTGGGAGCAGGCAATACACGAAGAGAATTCATCACGGGTGGGGAAGTTTACAGAGAAGAGAACAAGAATGGAGGACTCTTTGCAGACTTTTGTACCTTCAATGATTTGATTCACTGTACTTAGAACACGGGATATAGATAGATTTTTCGAACACATTCAATTAAAGGTGGAGGCCATTCAATTCACTTATGAATTGAAAAGTCAGAAAGGGGAACTGCCAATGTTTGACTATAGCGTAAAAAGGAAAGAAGATGGGAAGCTAAACACTAGTGTTTACAGGAAACCCACACATTCAAACAGATATTTGGACTTCCGATCATCCCATCCTATGTCAGTAAAAAATAGGACTGGTGAAATGTTGAAATGACAAAGCACAAAAACTAAGTAGTACCAAGGAAAATCTAAGACAGGAAGTGAGGCATATAAGAGAAGCTTTGAAACTTAATAATTACCCAGATAAATTAATCAGGAAGTATGTAGGGAAATGTAAAAATAAAATAAATAATGATAGTAGTGACAATAATAATAATAATAGAAACATTAATGACGACATGCATATCAAACATGTGCAAGATAATGACAACAGCAACAATAGGGAATATAAAATATCAGTAATAATTCCATACAAAGAAGGAACCTCGGAAAGCTTAAGTAGAATTATTAACAATGCAGGAATAAAAGTGGTTGGCATTCAAACCACCCACAAACTCAATTAGAAACAAGCTTTGTCGGTTAAAGAGTCCTGCCTGTGGATCTCCCTCCATGTAGCTCACAAAGCAGAAGAAAAAAGACATTCAAAAGAGAGTGAATAAACAGAACTGGGAAGGAAAAAAAAATAGTAGTATGGAAGTACCTAGTTTTATTGGATATGACAAATCACGGAGAGTGAATGCATCTGCGCCATCACTGAGAACGATTTTGAGCTATATCACCAGTTGTTTCCAACCATTAGTTTTTACCGTCCCGAAGACCCTAACCAATCAGGAAGTTTACACCGTCCCCACGTCACTGACTGGTTGGCTTAAACTAACTGTTGTGGATTTCATTGACTGACGAAAACATATCTTGGTTTGCACACCACTAGCTAACTCTTTTGCAACTTGATTCTATGTCAGCTAACATTACTCGTCGAGGAAGGCGATGGCTAGGCATGCACAAAACATGTCCTAACCATCTCAATCGAGGTAATTTCACAATCTCGTGAAATGATTCCCCCTTTTTACCCAGCACTCGACTTCAAGTACTGCACAATTGAGCAAAGTTCAACGTTAAACAATTTTTTTTACTTAGGTTCAACTGTAGTAAGTGACTGTAGCTATTTTTTCTTTTTTCTTAGTTTCTAATTATAACACACTGTAAAGGTTTGCTCGGTGTAACAGATTTGTAATAAGAAACTTGAGAAGTTCACATATTTAAAGATAATTATATTGATTTTTAAACACCATATAATCTGATTGAAAGATTTAAAGGCTGACCGTACATATACACCACCAGTCTATTAGACATATGCACCTAAGTGACTGAGTTTGCACAACTGAGTAGGACTTCAAGCTGCCACAACACTCCATTGTGAAACACAAACGTAGACAAAAGAGGAAGACACTCAAAGGACTACAATAAACAGAAGTGTCAGGTGGGGGAGGGGAAGAAATAGTAAGGCGGTAAACACATGATATGAGAGATTAAAAAGAGTGAATGTATCTGCGTCATTGAGAACGATTTTGAGTCATATCACAATAATAATTAGCTTTCCAAGGACCCAAAGGAGACAGTCTACACTTTTGTATGTGTCTTAAATTGACTGCCTAACACTTCCATTTTTTTGGTTGACCACCACCCTAAATCTTTTCCAACCAAATCCTATATCAGCTAATAAATAACTCAACGTGGAAGGTGACGACTTAGCATTTACAACACTTATCCCAGCCATTTCAATTTATACAGCTCCATAACCTTATCGATTGACTAACCCTCCATACCTAACACACTACGCTTAACCTCTATATTATTCACCAGATTATGTCACTTAACACGGAAAATAGAACGCAAACAGCAAGTTAGTCCTTTTGATATGTTCCACTTGCAATGGTCATGTCTCACAGCCATTAAAGGAGGGAGAATACAGAGAGGCGGTGAGCGGTAAACATTTTTTTAATCGATAGCCCCTGGAGATAACATAAGTTTGTAAATACTACACGAGCCCTTTGTATTTATGGCTAACATTTTTGTAGCAATCAATCTATTTGAGCTGATGCAACTTCTTAAATACGTGAACTGGTCATCAACACACTCAACTAATTCAGTTTCTACTTATAATGCGCGTCTTACTCAAAAAGTGCAACTGAATAAACAAAGCAGTACACTGTTGTTCAACTGTGTACAACACCACAACATAGGATGATAAACACTCGGTTGCTTGCTTCTCTTCCACTAAAATAACTTCTTTGACTTTATAACATAACTTTACCCAAGAATGACATTTTACCTTCACATAACTTCATATAGATTAAATATAAAAGAAAGTTTGTGATCTTAACTGTAGAACAAACTTTTACTCATGCTGAAGTTACATCGGTTGAGATGGTTAAGACATGTGTTATGTGCGCCTAGCCATCACCTTCCTCGACCGGCGGGCAATGTTAGCTGACATAGGAGGATAGAGTTGGAAAAGAGCCGGTGGTGGTTAAAACAAAACATGGCTTCATCAGCCAATGAAATCCACATCAGCTGGTTCAAGCCAGCCATGTGGTTTGGGTCTTCGGGATGGTAAAAAGAAAAATGGCGGCTGGAAACAATTGGTGATGATATGGCTCAAAGTCGTTCTCAGTGATGGCTGACTCAGATGCATCCACTCCTTGTGCTCTATAATATCCAATAAAACTCTATTGTTCTTCTACATTAATATTTTTCTCCTTTCCCAATTCTGTTTATTATTTCTCTTTTGAAAATCTCTTCACTCTTTTCTCTTCCTCTGTGTGGTACATGGAAGGAGAGTGGCAAGTTGAACTGCTGCACATCTATGCAAAGTTCTACGTTGAAACCAGTCAGTCAGTCAGTCATACTAAGAAAATATGGTAAATTAAAATAATGAAAAGATTTCTAGCTCAGATAGGTGTTGTTCTTTTTTTTAATGCGTCGTTTTGTATCCTGACAGTTAGATGATTTAATTGCTAAGCATTTATTGCCTTGATACATAGATTTTAATCAGAGGTAACTTCGATACTAAAGATGTTAAACAATCCAATGAATGCTATGTCATATTTTAGACACAATTTCAAACTTATCACATTTTTATTCACTTAGAGCAGTCAACAAATGAACGTCAAAACAGACAGCAAAATAATATTGGAATAAGGACAAAGAGATGAAGAATAACATATACCATAGAATCGCTTACAGAAGTGCGACACTTCAGATCCTCGCAAACATATATATATATATATATAACACCGCAACAAACAAGTACGTGGGAAGTGATGATGTTCCCAACACTCACTGAGAAATGCACGCACATCCAGCTGATGAGTCCCAAATAGGACAAAATGCACATCCTGGTGGGTTCCACTGCTAGTCACCATCCACCAATTAAATACTAATTAAATGCCCAGACATCGTCGAAGCATCTGCACAAGAAGCCAATAGACATGTCAACCTGAGACCGAGCACTTCTGTCAAATCAATCGGCGGGAAAATCAAAAATTCAATGAGATATTTTTCTTTATTCATAACATTAATTATAGCACTTATTATTTTTGAAAACAAAAGTTCATAACTTTTTCACAGCATAACAAATACATTAAGTTATATAAGATTTATAATGATTACTTACAAAACAATTGGGACAACTAACAAGAATTTCTTTGTCGGTGAGAACTGTTCACCATCATCAAATTGTTCCCATTGAGTTAGAACGCGTGATTCCCCTTGGTCTAATGTTTCATACGGACTGCCTTTTTCCCAATGCAGTAAACGGTACATAACCTATAGACAAAATAAAAGAGTTCTCTTAGTTAATGGTCAGAATATTGTAAGCAATGCGCATTGCTTACTTTCTAGAAAGGATCTCGGGATGCTAAGAACCAGGGGCCTCAAAATGTTTCTCAGTGGTGGAGATGCAGATCTTAAATCAAATATCTGTCACCTCAGTGACAGTTTCTCTTCGAATCACTGTTGGTCGTATCAAATGCTTTGGATTTCTAAGAATGATATTTTTCTTTTGACTTATTTCATAAAGAAGTTGAAACTTTTTGCTGGCATAATTCAACCTCTTTTCGAACAATTTGTTAATTCATGTATTCTGCTCATTCTCCTTTAACGTTCGCCACTATTCCTCTCTGGACTTCTCGAAAAAGGACTTTGTCATATTACGTAGAACACTGAAGGCTGTAAGTAGGGTTAGTGGTGTGCCTTTGACTCAGCTAACTGACACTGTTGTTGATAGGTATTTTAATTCTTGTAAGCAGTTGGCTAAAGTTATCTTGTGTGATACCGAACATCTCGACTTATTCTCAGCTTTTCCCTTGTATCTCTTCTGGGATGAAACCTTGTTGACCGAGTGAGGTTAAGTGAATGACCACACTCGGGTCTTGTGTGCATGTCTCCGAATCACAACATACACCCATGGCTCGGGATGCCAGAGTTCTTGCTAGTGATACCTGTTGGCCGATTTGGCAGAGGGTCCTGACGTTAAATGCTCCTATATGGAGTTGGCGGCGTGGCTTTAAAAGGCTATCTGGGGCGTTTTTATGGCTCTCATCGTTATTTGTGGTCACAGAGTGAGGTGAAGATGCCTCACTAACCTGAAGAATAATACTAAGTGCATTAAGGGAATAGGATGATTAAGGTGATGTGGGTAGAGGAGAATGATGCTCAGCAAAGCTTCGTGCGCTTTCGGAAGTGTGTGGGCGGTTGTTACTTCCCGGCTGTCCACACCATGGGGTGCCTGAAACAGAAAGAGAGTGTTGCGTGACCACAGAGCCCAGGAGACAACTGTTTGAAGCAGATCAGTTTCACGCGACCTATATGAACCGGTTTCTTCGATTGGTTCCGTATTAGTTAATTTACCGCCGGTTACGGATCACTGTAGGGTAAGTTGGGATGTACAATTTTTTGGGTCGACCTTTTCTAACCCCTTCTTTCCTGAGTAGACAGACAGCATAGGCGGCTGGCATGCCGGTCATCTGAGGGAAACACCTCACTGCTGTTACACCCCTATTCCCCAACAGTATAACTTCGCCCACAGACCCTCCCCCCTATAGTGTAAGAAAGATTCTTACATTATGCTGGTAACTGCTTTCAGTCTAACCGCTATCCTAACAACCTTCCTGGCATGGTGGGACCTGCAGGAACATTGATCCCAGCCAGTGTAGCTTGTTGAGTCATCGCGATGCGCAAGCCCGACCACCACGTCAAGGTAGCAGCTATCGGTCGGGTTCGGGAGTGAAACCACAAGGAACTTTATAAGAATTTACGCTAATGCAACTAAATATAAAAATTCTACCATACCATATTTAGCAGCGGGCTTTGTGTGAGTAGTCAGACGTCAGAAAAGATCTTATACACTTTTTAAATCAGTAATCTGAACTGCAAAGTACAAGCAAAGATCATTATTAGATATATTATCTATTTATAGTTCATTATGTTTCTACCAACATTGTTTATAATGGTTTGTCATTTACATAAAAAAGTTGGCTGATTAGGATTCAGTTGCAGTGTGTTTGCCATGAATTATCTGACGGTCGATGATGCTAGTGGAGTGAGTCTCGAACCTGAGACGCAGTAGCTTGAGCTAATGAAACACATTTCTCATTCAGTAGCAGGCTTTCTCATTAGCTTTAACCATTATGAGTACAAAATATAAACTTTACACTCTTCAGCTATGTGCAATCAGTGCTTATCAGATGCATCTAAAATTTAAATCAGTGCAACATCAATAAGTTTATACGTTTACATACTTTCTGTCAATTTTGCAACTGGCATATTGAGTCGAAAATGACATAAAAACAGGATACATTTACTACAAGAGAGAAAGGAAGTGTGTGCGAAGCTCTATTCTGGAACACTGTCAACCCTGACCACGATTTCAAGATCATATATAGAATCCATGCTAACTTCCAGTGTTTTCTTCGTTACAGACTCCTAAAGACAGCAGAGGCCTTGGCAATTCATGACTTTAAGCCAGACCTTTGTGTACAATCCCTACTTCTGCCTTGACCGTAGAGGGATAGACGTTTATTTATTTATTTTGTTTATTTAGTTATTCTATGTATTTTCCCTTATTACTACGATTATTATTATTATTACTATTCTCACTCTGAATATTTTCCACTTGACCCACTTGTCATTTTAAACCCAAAATTATTAATTTTTATATTTTTTTTATTTTTACAATATTTAATTCTATCTTATCAGATTTCACACCATGTTATGTAATATTTTATATTCGTCTACTAATCCTATAATTATGTACCCCTTTCCAAAATCTATACACCTTATGTAATATTCTATATATGACATTAATTATTTTGTCACTTGACATTAAACTATGATTATAATCACAAACATTTTAGTTTTAATTGCACTTCATACTATTATTATTTCATGTATTCACACCTTTCACCTAATTCCCTCACCGGATATAATTTCTTAAAAACCATATATATGTATACGATTGTACAGCTTGATAATAAATTCGTTGAAAGGAGCCTCTTTGTTGAATATTGTGTTCTTAATGCTACAACGGGAATTATTAAATTATTGAGAAAATACACTTCATTAAGCAAACATGAAATCTCTAGCGTAAAACTCATTTCTCTAGAGTGAAAACACGAGATTTGCAGTCTTTATAAGAATAATAGACAAGACGAAGACAGTGGTTAGGACTCTCGCCGACCATGCCCATGGTCCGGGGTTCGAGCCCACGCCGACGCACACCTGTTATCTATGGTCGGCCTGCTAAATTTGGGCTACCGATAGCCACGCTGAAAATTCCACACTTGTACCAAAAATACGGTGTGGAATCAAGCTGTAATCAAAAATAAAATCAAAAATAAAATATGTAAAAAAAACCAACCAACAACAACAACATCCAATGTCAATCACCATCAACGGGAGGGATTTCAAAGAGGTCACCTCATTCATTCACTTATCTAGGGAGCATTGTCTCAACTACAGCCAGTCGGAACGGACGAGGATGTCAAATCGAGAGAGAATCGGGAAGGCGAGAAACACATTCATCAATCTGAAACCAATATAATCTGGAAATCTTCGTCACTCAGCCAGCATCAACAACAAAATTCGGTCGGATTTTCAATACAAACAACGTCAAGTCAGTCAGTTCTTCTATACGGATCAGAAACTTAGCGGGCGGGTGGGTCACAAAGAATATTTCCAACAGCCTGTTGCAGACTATCAACCAACAACTGTCTTCTCTGGCTCTATACTGAAGATCAGATGGCCGGGCCGGAAACAATCACCAACAAGAAACTATGGGAACAAACAAAACAAGAAGCAATCCCAAACCAACAAATATGCAGGAGAAAGTGGAGATGGATTGGACACCCGCTGAGGAGACCGGTTGGTGACATCGCGCGTCAAGCCCTCGAGGGGACCCGAAAGGGAAGCGGCGAATGGGACGTCAGTGCGAGGGTGACATGGAGGAGATCGTGTGAAGAGGAGTTGAAAGAGTATGGACTAACATGGATGCAGGTGAAAATACAGCAGAAGACAGAAGCAAGTGAAGACGTGCAGATGAAGCCCTATGTTCCACTAGGAACCCAAGGGGGCAATAATAATAATTATTATTATAAGAATAATGACGGTTGTACGTGAAGCTGAGTGGTAGCTCATCATATTATGACAGGAGTCATCATCATAAGCTGTACCAGTCCCACTGAATAACAATCAAATTAACTGAAAAAAAATATAGGACACTTAACTAGTGTGACTCTATACTCAAGATACATTTCCCAATGTTAATTTGAGATGCTTTTTTCCTGGCTGAATTGATTTAAGGAAAATAAATGCATTGTTTAGATTGGGAAACCTAAACATTAAGTATCTACAAGTTAAATTAGGATTAACCTACACTAAGTCAAATATGACACTACGGCGTGCCCCATATCTTTACCAACCTTATTTATCAGCTGGCTATCTGACAATGCCACGTGTCAGAATGTGATCCACAACAAAACTCAGCGAGGCGTTTCAACTGAGTGCGGGAGTGAGACAAGGTCGCCTATTATCACCAACGATTATATTCCCTAATTGTGGTGGACTGGATCTGGTGTCAGACTGCGGTGGGAGTGAGAAGACGGGTGTATGCTAAAATGACCGATAAGAAGACTCTAGAAGATCTGGATTTCGCGGGGAATGATTTATGTCTAGTGTCAGGCAAACTAGAAGACTTGCACGCGAAAACGGACAAAGTCGGTGAAGAAGCAGGTAGAGAAGAGAGGATTCTAGGTGAGCATAGAGAAGATGGAGGTGAGGAACGTAACCAGTGAACAGCAACAGCAGGAGCAACAACAACAACCAGCACCAATTACCATCAACGGGGGAGAGATTTGACAAAGGTTACTTCCTTCACTTACCTAGGAAGTATCGTTTTAATCACAGGTGGGACGGATGGAGATGTCTAAACCAGCCAGAATCGAAAAGGTAAGATATAACTTTATCAACCTAAAGTCTGTTTGGAAATCTTCTGCGCTTAACCAGCATTAAAAACGAGATTTGGATTTTCAACACAATTTTGAAGTCAGTCATTTCTTCTATACGGGTCAGAAACTTGGCCAACGTGTCACAAAAAGTATTCCCAACAAGTTACACACTTTTATCAACATTTTTCTTGGCTGGTTTCATACGGAAGATCAAATGGCCGGCAAGAAAAAATCAGCAACAAGAAACTCTGGCTGAGAACAAACCAACCAAGAGCCGATTGCTCAACAAATATCTAAGAAAAAATGGAAATGGCTTGGGCATACGTTGAGGAATGAATGACACCACACGTAGTGCAGGCCATCGCTCCAGTGGAATCCCAATGGGAAGCGACGAGTGAGTCGTCGGTGCGAGAGTGGCATGGAGGAGATCGTGCGAGGATAAGATGAGGGATTATGGGCAATCGTGGACCCAGCTGAAGAGAGCAGTAGAAGACAGAACAAAGTGATGTATTGTTAAAGCTATGCGTCCCACCCGGAACACAAGGGAATAATAATATAATGATAAGTCAAATTTACAATCCACTGATGCTTTCACAAAATTCTATAGTCTCGCATGTTAACTGTAAAATCTGCGACTTCTGATAATTTTGTGCATGAAATATTTGCATCACATATATGAAAAGGTTAGTTATCTTTAGCCACGTGTGTTTTCGTTCTGTCTACCATGTAAAGTGGTATAATATGGTGGGCAATACTGAGGTAAGGCACAGAGTGCCAAGTAAGGAAAGGAAGTCAATTGATGAGGTTGTGTAATTACATTGGTTCAGATCGTTAGGGTAGGTGTTGTGCATGCTAAATCACCATCTTCCTTGACGACTAATGGTAACTGACAAAGGATTAAGTTGTTAAAGAGTTTGGAGATGTTAAACCTAAATCTAGTGAGTCGGTGGCACAGCAGTAGAGTGCTCCCCGACCACGCACATGGGCCGGGGTTCAGTCCCCGCTCGACGCACTCTTTTACCTCGCTAAGCCAGTAGTAAGACTGGGAAAGAGGGAAGGTTGGGTATGAGGCCAGCAACCCCATCCTGTAAAAATAATCACCACTGCTACAGAAACTTCAAGCCTCTAGCTTGAAGGTGCCTTATGTTCCACTGGGGGGGGACGTAAAGGAATAAAAAAAAACACCTAAATCTGACATCAAACAATGAAGTCTTTGACTGTTGGATTGAGCCACATAATGTGGTATGGACTGTCTGGTTAAGGATCTCGGGATGCTAAGAACCATTGGCCGGAGACTGTTAATGGTATGTCTCGAAATATTTCTCAATGACGCAACCAAGCACGCCAAGTGTAACAAAAACTGACGAACGACTATATTACGAAGTAACATGTATGCCTTTCGACTAAAGTATTTATCAAGAAAGCTTTACCCAATGATGTGAAAAACAGGTTTAAATGACAGTTGTTAACTATGTGTGTAGCAGACAGAAAAAGGAGATATATGAAGGGAACTTATGTTGGACGAGAAATATTCAGGCGGAGGTTTCCAGTGTGAGGATACATGAATTAAGAGAAGTGACCGCAGAAACGCAAATAAAATATTTCTGTACTGAACCGAAAGTTTCGAAGGTATAATAGTGACGGAAACCAAAAGTATAAAGTATGATGATTTTAACATCAAATGACGAATTAAGCTTCAGCTTTTTCATGTGAAGATGAATTAGTATAGAGTATTTCATTTGGGTCTCCTTAAAAAACTAAAGGGTTTTGGAATAGACCAATGCCTATGTGAGTGGTTCAGGGACCACCTAATGGATAGAAGGCAGAAGTTAAAGGTTAATGGTGTATGTCAGAATGTAAAGAAGCATTGAGTGGAGTATCTCAGGGAACTGTATTAGGCCCCCTGATATACCTATTAAACGTTAATCAATTACCCAAATTCTTACCTCATTTTCATTATTATTTGCGGACATTATTAGGATCTGGGAAACTAGGTAATAATGGTAATTTGGTATTACAAAATGACCCAGATAAATTAGCTGAATGGTTGAACCTCTGGAGTCTGGGAATTAATTCCAAGAAAAGTGCGGTAATGCACTTAGGTCAGAGGCCTTATGTGTCGTACACCCTGAGGGACAGGACTCCCAGATACTAGGCGACGAAAGGAATTAGGAGTTATTCTAAACTTGAAAACAACCGCAAATTGTAATGCAGCCGCACCTAAGGCTCTTTGAATGCTATAGACACTTTGAAGGGCGTTCAAACGATTCGACAGGTCTCAGTTCCAAATATTCTATGCAACATGTTACTCTTCATCTAGAATACTGCATACAAATGGATTACATGCTTTAAGAAGGAGGCACATATCTTGGAAACAGTACAGAGGGCAGAAACAGGATTAGTTAGTTATATCTCACGCTTTCCTTATGACAAGAGGATGAAGCATTTAAATCTCTTCCCATTATCATACCGAAGAAGACTTTGTTTTGGCATACCGTATATTAAAGGATGATTTAGGGACTGACCTTACTAATCTTTTCTATCCCTCTGGGATATTTTTACGCGGACACCAAAAAACGTGCTCAAACCGAGATTGAATAAAATACGTGTGGAATTTAGATTATCTCATAGAATGCTCGACGACTGGAACTCAGCTGATTCAGTAGTAACAGCTCTATTGGTGAACTCTTTCAAAAAAACTAGATTTCTCCAAAGATATACATTGCTAGGATTAACAGTGGCAACAAGAGCCTACTATCCTTATTTAAATTCAAACTACTTTTGACCATTTTTACAATTTAAATGCCCAAACCATTACAAACGTAATTGATCGTCGAAATGATCAACACTTAATTGTTCGTGATTACCACAACTTGTGGTGGCAGATAAAGTATTTACCAACAGTCATTAGGATAATTAAAGGCTCATTTGATCTGAACATCAGCAATAATAAATACAAACTCAATAAGTCAGAAAAACATACCACATTATGAATTGTACAAGTTAGTGTCCAGACAACAGCCGTGGTAAAGAATGGTATACATAGCAAGATGAAGTGTACAACTAAGATCACCAAAATATACGTAACCCAAGTTCCTTGGCTATTTAAATATTCCGAGGTTGGATTTAAAATCGATGTAGCAGTTCCAACCTGCATCCCGCATAAATATTAATGTTTCTGGCGCTTTCCTAAGGACACATTTCAATGTTCCAATAAGGCCAGCGTGTTTCCGTGTAACTTTTGGTGTAGAGGAATAAATGTATGTTTTGGGCATTTTAAAATACTTGGTGTGGTAATGACCCATTTGAATAGTAAACCATACCATACAGCATCAGTACACAGCAAACACAAAAACTTTCTTCATCAACGTCCGAGCGCGATTTAGGTCTAGTTCTAACGGGAAAAAATGGACACAGGCGTAAATTACACTGGTGATGTAGAGATGGCATATGCGTTTATACCATTCACACATAGACAGTTAGGTGTGCCCACTCCTGAACTCTTTCTAAGGTTGTACATAGCATACTGAAGGTCACAACTTGAAGTGCGCAATATCATTGCTCCCCACTGCTTAAAAGAGACTAACCCCCTGAAAGGGTTCAAAGACTGGCGGGAAAACGGATGGTGGGTCTCCAAAACAAACTATATGATGAGCGGCTAGGGAAATTATGTTTCTTCACACTCATCCACCGTTGGCTTAAGGAGAGGTAAAAGATTAAAAATAACCGGAGTCATCCAAACAAAGGTATTCTACTATTAAGTGCGTTTGGGCCTCCCCGTGGGAATCCACGAAAGATAGCTCACCAGAGAGCGAAGATTTGAGTGCGCTCTCTTTTCTATTCACTCCGAGTATGCCACCCCTGAAACTGTCGACTGGCAAATGTGCCTACTGCATCGTTAGTGGGTTGCTTTAAACGAAGGCTGGACAGTCATGCAGCGATGCGAGGATTGCGTTCAAACTGCCTATGGCCTTATAATCTCATACACTATTAATGGGTACACATTTAAGCTCATTGTTTCACTTCCTCACATTCTTTTGTGTCTCATTCTCCTGACTTTGCCAACAATTATCATTACTAACTATGCTCACTAATCGTATGTGTAATTTATCGAAATGATGTCCATAAACTGGCTTCCTTCATGTACAAAAATGAGAATATATTATTATTAGGCAGAGCTCTGGGTTCATTGTACAGATCAATATTTAAATCTACCTACTAGGAGAGGCCTGGACAGTAATCCGTTTTTCATGAGGGAATTTGGTAGTTACAGGCAGAGTGAGGATATGTGATGAGATGAATGGCCAAATTAAAGGTTAATTTGCTGATCCCGGAGTCTCTGTGAGTTTTAAGAATTCATATGTACAACCCGCCTCAAAGTTTCACCAATGTCTCCATCACCCATCGCCAATCACCAAGTGTGATACACAGCTTTTGTGTATTCCCAATATCTTGCTTGCTTCTTCTTTGCAGCAGGGTTGTTTCCATATTTCAAGGCCTCCCAAACCAGCAGCTTTGAAGGGATTATGAGAGCCAAACCTAAGTTGTATAAATAAGTCTGATCACCCGGCATCAGACACATATTTGATTGGTTAGATATATCGGCCACCTGAGGTCACTCTCATTCACGGAAGACTGTAATAGTACTTTACGCTGGTGGTAATTGCCTATAAGAGGCATTTGTTGATGTAGTAGAAGACTTCAACTTTTTGGAGTACTAATTCCACAACTGTTCGAAGTCGGACTCTCTAAATTTAGGAAACTGAGTTACCATGCCCCCCATCCCTCAAGAAAACAGATCTCAGAATAACAGTAAACGCCATACAGCAAGAATTAGAAAAAATGGATAGATGGTGTGACACCTGGCAACTCCAGTTTTATGTCGAAAAATGTGGTTGGCTCTGCATAGGCTGCAACAACCGAGAACTTGTCCTGACAATTCAAGGCAATGCACTCTTATGACTGGAATCTCTATTGGACCTAGGACTGAAATACTCACATGACTTATCATTTTCTGAACATATCTCCAAACAAGTGTCAAAGTCACGCAGACTTATCGGCTTTCTACTCAGGAACTTCTACAGAAATGAGTCCAGAATTCTGTTGTACAAGGTTTGTGTGCGTCCCTTATTTGATTACTGTTCATACATGTATAGTAGTATACGCATAGAGGACAAATTGAAAGTCGAGGGAGTGCAGAGGTACTTCACGTCAAAATTACTCGGAACCGAAAATGGTGCGAACTACTCCACCAGATGTGATACCCTAGAACTTGAAACACTATGGCTAAGACGCCTGAGACTAAACTAAACACTTTACTATAAGCTTCTAAACCACTTAGCTTTTACCTCTACTAATGGCACTCGACTTTCAGATGACAGTGGCTACAAACTAAGACACACTAAGGGTTCAGTAGCTATCGAACAATGTAAAACAGTCACCAGGCAAAAGTTTTATTTGATTAGGTATGCACAGATATGGAATAAACTACCAGTGGAAATGCGTCAAGCAAGTACATTGGCGTCATTCAAAAAAGTGCTTAATGACAAACTACACGAGTTTGCAAACGACAGTTGTCAATGGAGTTGAAGATTGAACGATCAATTCTTGGTTGTTTGCTCAAAATCAACTTCCTCGATTTTCGCGGAGGCATCAATACGACAGTCATCGTCTCATCGGTCGCTGTTCAGAAAGAAGATTGAAACATCGTCAGAAACCTTAGTTTTCTTAGTTGCTTAGTTCGTTTATTCCTCTTATATGTTGGTGTAACAATACAAAATATCAAACGGCAGATCGGTGTTTTGGTTTTCGCGTCCGTTATAACTAAGCGTTTCTCAGAAATCTTCTAAGAACAGCGTGGGCCCGAGCGTAGCGAGAGCTGGGCATTAACGGTTTATGAGACGTTGCTGACAGTTTCTGACGATAGAAACAGATCTGGCGGATTCAAACAGTTGGTGAAAGTTTGGATAGTCGCCGTTCATTTTTCCTGGTGCCGGTCAAGTCCTCTTTGAACAAGCAATATCTGGAACTTTTTGGAATTGGGTCAAGTTCAACAATGCCTGGGTCAAAGAAGGGACAGAGTGTCTTGGATGCAAACAGGAAAGTAAGTCATGGTGACTTGTCTGTTAATTGTAACGATGTGTCTGATGTTAAACATGACATGGTTGATGTTACTGTTTCGCCGTTCAGGGATAATAGGAACATCAAACTCCCTAAATTTGAACCACGATGTTTTGATGGAAACCCGGCTGATTATTTACAATTTGTAAAGGAGTTTGAGATCATGTTGAGTGGTTTTTTATTAAATGATGAATTGAAATTGATGTATTTGATGAGATATTGCACTGGAGATGCTGCAAGAGCTATACAGTGCTGTAAGTTTATGAAGCCAAAGGAGGGCTACGATGAGGCTATGAGCATATTACGCCAAAGGTTTGGAAGACCCTCGATGATTGCAGGGAAATTATTCGAGGCTGTTGAGGGTAATGGTGGTCAATTACAGGATGACTCCCAGGCACTCACTGAGTTTTTAGATAATTTGCTAATTTACAAGAATGGAATGATTTCGATGAATCGCGTGAGTGACCTCAACTCGAGTTTTATACTAGAAGTAATAGCAAGACGTCTACCTACTCGACTGCAAAGGAAGTGGGTGAAGATAAGCTCCCGTATGGAGGATGAGGGTATCGAGCCAAAGTTTGATGATATCCTGAAACTGGTAAATACTAGTGTCAATCAATCTATGAGCAAGTTCGCCAGTCTGTTAGATCTCACCCCTAGAATAGAGCAGTCTGAGGGTAAAACGCACTCATTGATGACGAATAAGCCTCAGAGAGGTGGATATCGAGAAGGCTCCATGATGTCTAGTAATGCATATAGACCTAGTGAGTGTAACAGGTTTCGTAGTACATCCTCAACAGATAAGTTACAAGATGCAAGACAAACACGGTTGTGTTGTACACGTGTGCAAGAGGTGCATACAGAAGTGAACTGTGAACCAGTGAGCAAGTTCAGTGATAAGCTAAATGTAAACTCCAGGTCTGACTCCGAATTGTGTGACGATAACGGTGTTGTGAAGAAGTCTGTAGTTGCAACTGGTAAGCCGTTGTTGAATAGAGTGTCACAGAATAGAGTTACTGCTTCAGAGTGGAGTTCTGACTCCACAAGTTTACAAAGTATATCTAGTCAGAGTGAAGATATAAAACCTTTAATGATTTTTGAGGAGGAACCAAAATTGTCTACTTCTGTTATTAAAGAGTTTGAAAATGATGAACTTGACGGTAAATTGAATATTTGTGGTAATGATCATGATAGTGCAGATTTGTCTTTGGTTGATCATTATGAGATGCGGGATATGCCTACTACTGCTAAGTTAAATAAAGGTTCTGTACAACTACAACGTGAAGTAGAATTGAACGCAGATGCAGTTCCAGAAGGTGTGCATACTTGTGAGACAGTCAGTGTAATTGATCAGCGTGTAGCCCACCTATCATCAGATGATAGTGCTAAACCCGAACTAGTAGTGAAAGACAGCAGTGGTGGTAATCTTGCAGTTGGACAACTATCTGAAAGCCGAAAAAGAACAGCTTCTGATCCACCACTAAGTTCATCACCTTGTGTCACTCAGTCATCGTTGGTGTTTTCATCCACAATGAAACAGATGCCCATCAACTCAAGTATCTTGTGCAATGACTATGGTAGTATTAGTTCGTTTGAAAGGACGAATAATAATGGTCAGTTTAGTGTGGATAAGCCAAGTGTAAAGGAGAGAGTTATTGTTAAATTGACTTGCACGAATAAAGGCATTTCTAGTTTCAAGTTACTATTTGAATGTTATTATCTTTGGTGTAAATTACTCTGTTTCTATACTTGGTTGATGAGATATGTCGTGTGTTTGTTGGTCATCTATATTCTACGATACAATGACATGGGCGTGTTGCCGTTCAGATTTGAGGATATAGCTGATAGAAGGAAGTTAGCAAATGAACTCTGCGACGATTTTCCAACCTAGGGCGTCAACCTGAGAAGGGTTGTAGGCGTACTGGTGTAAGTCCTACAGTTCTTCAAAGGGTAGCGCATCAATGAGCAGTCCAATGTGCTTGGTGTATGATCTTGTACATATGTTCATATTGTATATACTGAATTGATATCATCTGTCATCTAGCTGTTGGTAATTCTGTTTGTGTCCGGACGACTTCCACTTGGATCATCAACCTGA